CCTGCTCTCCCTTCTTATGGTCTTTGTACGGGACCTAGAGACTCCAGTAGAGAGCACTCCATGTCAAGAAGGAGGGCAAGTGGGCACTCTATCAAATGACAGGGCAGGAGTTACACGGAGCAGGGCCTTTTCACTGGTGGTGCCCATTGTATGCCTCTCTCTTCCCAGACCTGCTCTCTTTTGACCTGTATTTTGGAGCTTTATAATTTAGGAAGACTTTGGAAGAACTGGTTGACAAGTCTTATTAGTTGCTGATGTATGAGCGGATTTTATTTGCTGCTATTCTGTGCTTCTGGTGCACCAGGGTTTACACCAGCGTAATAGAGTTAGCCAGGATGCCAGAAAGGATACAATTTATGAGCTTTCTCCATTATCTGCATAGTAGGGGATGTTCAGTCAACAGTGCAAAGGCTGAGCTGAAGCATTCCCTGCTGGTTACCTACTTTCAGCAATAGGGGTCACTGTTTGGTAGTACCCAATTGGTTAGCTGTCAGATTCTAGAGCTCCCTATTGGTGGCTCTTAGATAATTCACAAAATACAGAGTCCATTCATAAGACACAGTGTTCCTTCATAAAGCAGTAACATACATCTCCCTTGCTACATATTGGGTGTATATTTCAGCGGTTGAACTTACAAGTTTATGGCCATGTTGTAGTGTAGTGCTTATGCGATTGTGGATAAAAAGTGGCTGGGCTCATTGTCTTGGGGTTTGGGGGGGGAAGAGGTGACAAAACTGATTTCCAATAAGTGCCCCCCCCTTACAGTGGTACCTTGGGTTAATAACTTAATTCGTTCTGGAGGTCCGTTCTTAACCTGAAACTGTTCTTAACCTGAAGTACCACTTTAGCTAATGGGGCCTCCCTCTGCCACTGCAGCACTGCCACACAATTTCTGTTCTCATCCTGAAGCAAAGTTCTTAACCTGAGGTACTGTTTCTGGATTAGCGGAGTATGTAACCTGAAGCATCTGTAACCTGAAGCGTCTGTAACCCAAGGTACCACTGTATTTCCATAATAAGTCCTTGAGTCTGTACTCTGAATGGTGACACCAGGGGTTGGACTGACAAGCCCTGCACAGTCTCATCAGGGCTGACCTTAAGGCAATTGGAGCAATTGGGACAAATAGGGTCCCGCGGGCTGCTCCTAAGGGGACCCCTGCACCAGGGCAATCTAGATGGATTTTATTTATATCTATAAGATTTTGCAGACTTCGGCTGTGAACTGGGGCCCTACCCAAAAAAAAAAAAAAATCAAGTTGCGCCCCACTGCTTCAAATTGGGCCCCACTGGCTAGCCCTGAGTCTAAAAGTTGCTGGGCCTGAGTTGCCCTGCCCTTGCATGAAGTCTTGGGTTTACAATTTTGGGAGAGGGAAGACTGCAGCACTGGCGAGGCCCCCTAGATTTAGAGGACCTAGGCTTCAGCCTACTTAGCCTGTACATAAATCCAGCACTGGTCCTATCCTAAGCAAAAAATGTTAAATCAAGTATTGTGTGATATTCTAGTAAGTTGGCTGCAGCCTTTCTGGAACAAAGGGACTTAGTAATCATCCTCTAAGCTTGATAGGCTCAAGGATAAACCACTTTGATTTGCTTTCAGTGAGGCCATTCAGAAGCTTCGGCTGTGGAGGGTGCCACTGCCAACCTGTTGAAAGGAGTGGAACAGTGGTAGCACATAATTTCTACATTTCACACTATGCAGCTGTCTCTTCATCACAGTCCAAGGCTCTCTAAGACTGAGTGCTGGGTACTTAAGGACACAGTCTTCTGGGTTTTATCAGTCCTCTAGAAGTAAACTTCCATCACGAAGACCTTCACAGTCTGCTCAGCAAGGATTAAGGAATCTGTCAATGTCAATTTCTCATTTTTTCAGTCTTAAATTCAGTTCTCCACATTTCCACATCTGTTTCTGATTATTATTTTTTAAGTTTTCCTGAAAATTTATCAGCAGTTTTAGTGCAATTTTCACCATTTTGCAAAGCACTTTCCCTTAATACAATGCATTTTGTTTGCTATTTCCACAAATAACTGGGGGGGGGGGGCAAGTGAAGTGATAACTCTCTCTGCCATGTGCATGGCACATGGTTCCCCTACCCCTGAAATTATGGAGGAGGCCTTTCTCACGTGTACCCCTATTTTCAAACCAATAATTGCTAATTCATATCCATAACCCCACATATGAGTACATATTACTAAAGGTTCTTCATTGCATTCATATTTTGTGTCCAGCCACACACAGTGCATGTCCATGTGCAATAGCAGCAAAATATCCCCCTCCATACCACATAAGTTAACTTCTACATACTTGTGGAGGGGTTCAATTAAGAACATCAGAAGAGTCCTGCTGGATCAGGCCAAGGCCCATCTGATCCAGCATCATGTGTGAGTTGGAGGTATTGTTCCCTAAGTATTTCTTGCAATATACCTGGTTATGGCTCGTGTTATTCTGTGGGGAGAACTACTTCTGTGAATCTAGGAAGTTCCTTATACAGAGTTTGTCAGGGCAGCACATTCCTCTCTTCACAAACAATCACCTCCGGAGACTTCTGACATTTTAATGGTCTTTATTTACAATATTTACATTGGTCATCAAGAGCTCATTATCAGTCATCAGAGTCACTCAGTTCAGATACCGGTAGAGGCCTCTGCTTATGCCACCAACACCTAATAAAATGTGGGAAATTATCATCCCGCCTTTCAAGTTTCCTCTTGTCCACACACCTCTAAGAGCAGTTGTAAATCTCTTGCCAGTCTCTGATCCATAACTTAACCCTTGCTATCCCTGTGGAGCTCCTGGCTTGCTTGCTGCCTCTTCCTGTTCCTCTACGCCTAATGACACTGCCCTTTCTTTGCTAGCTTCTCCAGCTCCCTCCCCCTCAGGCAAAACATCCTCTTCTTCTACCCTGAAGTTCTCTCCCACATCCGGGGAACTCGAATGTACTGATTCAGCCCTGACAGAGTTAGACCACTGGCCCATTGTGTGTGGTATTGTCTGGTTTGTCTGGCTGTTACCCTCTGTCAGGCGTTGGAGAATCTGCTTCCTCCCCCGTGGCAATAAATGAGCAGATCAAAGGAATTCTTACCAGTTAATTTCTTTAATAAACACAGCGAAGAACAGAAGAAAGCTTCTACCCAGAATGGCAATGACCCCAATTAAGGGTTACACCCCCTTCTGTCTCAATTAATCTGTCTACATCTTGTAATCTGAGTTTGTAACCTCTGAGCTTTCTGTTCTGATATTTTCTGAGCTCTCCATGACCTTGGGGAAGGGTGTGTGTGTGGATACTATCCAGAGACTGTGAATCTGTTAACCCTCTCTCTCCCAGTGCATCTTCTCCTAGCTGTTCCCCATCCTGTATTTCCCAGCTTCTGCTTTCTGAACTATGCTCCTCTGCAAACCACTCTTCTGAATCTACACTGTCCTCCTGCTCCTGGGAAGATTCAGAATCAGGATCCAGAGGAGGGGGTGGCTCCCACCATTCTTCCTCAGTGCAGCCTTCCTCAGCACGGTCCCTGACACCTTCCAAGGCCTCAGGCATATGTATATATTCTTATAATCAGTTAGATGGCCCATTTAAGTAGGTATGCCCTGGATTGAACTTGGAACCTTCTACATGTAAAGCAAGTGCCCTACCGCTAAGCCATCAACCCTCCCCATTTCTGGGTTTGGAAACAGTGGGGAACTAGGTAACACTCTGGTCTCTTCCAAGTCTAGGATTACATGGAGATACCCAGCTGCAGGTCTCTGAATCTTAGAAACACTGCAGAAATTGACTGTTCTATCTTTGTAAACTCACTTTTTATAACTGTTATTTCTTTGTGTGGATTCTGACTAAACAAATATTTTGAGAAACATTTCTTTTTCATCCTCATACTCTCACTGCTGTGTTATTTCAAACCAAACATTTTCTACCATGTTATTAGTGCCATCTTGGTAATGATTTGATACCGTTTAGGATGCAGTCCTTACAATGAAATCAGAGGGCTCTATTTCTGTGTAAATATATTTAGGATTGGACTACAAAAAACCTATTTTGAACAAGAAACATGCTCTTAATAATCATAAAACCTTGGAAGTTAAACTTTTAATTCAGATAAGATCTGATAATCAACAATTACAGTTTCTATATGACTGTTGTAGTTGAAAGTCAAGAGCTATGGTAAACTGGCAATGTGATTTGCTTAGTCCTAGCAATTCGTGTTACTTTCCTCCTCACATTTTTTCCTGTCTGCTAGGAGCATTGTTACACTAAGATCTCAACAGCACCCATACGCATAAATCCATCTTTCCACTGGCACTTGCTCATTTATCTTCAATTCAAGAAGCTAGCTATTGTGAGTAGATAGTGTGGTGTGCCATCTGTATTATCAGATGCAATAATGAATGTCAGTCAGACTCTTCCTTTGCAAATAATGTCAATTATCATTTTGATTTAGGACAGATTGATGCTGACAGATTGTACAACTCCTACCACATCTGGTGCCTAACACAAAAAGTGTCAGGAGTAATTCTAAGACAGCAAAGTACAGTGAATTATGGAGTCTGCTCAGTGTGTTAGAAACTGAAGAAATGCTACTCTGATATGCAGCATCCATCAATGTGTTTAGCATTGCAGCACAGTATAGGTGCCTTGGCACATGTGCTGGCACTTTGGCATCAGGTTAGAAATAGACACAGAAGGAACATGACATGCACATACCAGGTGGGACCAAGGACCATAGAATCATGGAATTGTATGGTTGGAAGGGACCCTGAGGGTCATCTAGTCCAACCCCCTGCAATGCAGGAATCTCAGCTAAAGCATCCATGACAGACGGCTGTCCAACCTCTGCTTAAAAACTTCCAGTGAAGGAGAGTCCACAACCTTCCTGGGGATCCGGTCTGCTGTTGAACACTTCTTAATGTCAGAAAGTTCTTCCTGATGTTTAGATTCATGGAATCATAGAACTGTAGAGTTGGAAGGGACACTGAGGATCATCTAGACCAACCCCCTGCAATGAAGCTGTCCCATACAGGGATAAAACCTGCAACCTCAGTGTTATCAACACCATGCTTTAGCCAACTGAGCTAACTGCCAATCAGTTTTAAGTCATTGTACCTCTGTAACAGTGTCAGATATGAAGTTCAGGATTGGAGTAAATATGTAAAAATAAATAGATGGATAAATAAAAGCATCCATCACTCTATAACTTAGTTGATATTTCTGCCATTAAAATTGCAATATAAGAATAATGAAAATAATTTGAAAACCATGAAACAACAGAAGAAGCAAAAAAAATGGGCAGAAACACACACACACACACACACACACACACAAATTTATTATTATTAGAATAATGGTAGTCCTTGTGAAACAAATGTTTGTTGTGTTTCCAGAAGTGCAAGTTTTTTCTTTTAAGGCAGCATCAGTCTCATATTGTCATTCATCAATATGCGTTGGCAGTTTTATTGTTCCACAAGGTCTTCTATCATTTGTGAAAGCTCTATTTTATACACGTAGTAGTGCTTTGAGACTTTGCCATGTATTTTTTTTTCCATTGGCAACCCCCCAAATATGTCTTCCAGTGGTTTCATAACTGTGGAGATGAGATAAGACCCTGAGCGAGACCATAATCCAATGGCCAAAAGTAGTCCCTCAGCACTGCTTTCTTGAACTGCCTCTCTAAGAAGGATTGGGACCATTGTAAAACAGGGCTCCAAGGCCTATCCCAACCAGCTGGTCTAGAAACATACCCTGGCTGGTGGCATCAAAAGCTGTAGAGTGGTCCAGCAGAATGAATAGGGCCTTGTTTCCCCTCTCCAGCTCCTGATGTAGATCATCCAGCAAGGAAACAAAAGCTGTCTCCATCCTATAATGAGCCAGGTTGAAAGAGAGTGAAATTATCCATATCATCCAGGAACAGCTGGAGCCGAGTTGCTACCACATACTTAAGTACATTCAGAACCATCCACAGGGCAGTCCTAACACTGATAAACTACTGTCTGTCGGAAGCCAGAGAAAAAAGCTTTCCCCTATACAGTGGTACCTCGGGTTACAGGCGCTTCAGGTTACAGACTCTGCTAACCCAGAAATAGTGCCTCGGGTTAAAAACTTTGCTTCAGGATGAGAACAGAAATTGCAACGGTGGCGGCATGGCGGTAGCGGGAGGTCCCATTAGCTAAAGTGGTACCTCAGGTTAAGAACAGTTTCAGGTTAAGAACGGACCTCCAGAACAAATTAAGTTCTTAACCCGAGGTACCACTGTATTAAGAAATCAAAACCCCTCTCTTCCACAAGCTACAGCGATGTGCTTGCATAGGATAAGATAAGCTTATGTGTTAACTGACTTTTCTTTAACCCTTTTCATTCTACAGTAATGAATTGTAATATTGCAAAGTTTCTGAATTACACACACACACACACACACACACACACACACACACACACCAGTACACTGGCTTATTTTCCATTGTTTTCTCTACTACTTAGGCTTTAAATACACTTTGAAATGCAAAATGCAATATTGTTGGCTTTCAGCCTCCTGCTTTAAATATATAGGAGTTCTGCTAAAGAGCAGCCTCCCCTCAGAACTGTTACAACAACAACACAATCTGCCTTTTCACTTCCAGGCTAGATTACTGACTCAGCTAAAATAAATCCATGTGTAGATATAGGTTTGATGGATATTTAAAACACATCAGTTGTTGGGAAAGGTACCTGCTATTTTCAAAGATGCCAAATAAATGTAATCTTTCAGCTCAAAGTATGAGAATGTTTGGAAATAACACTGTCATGGAAATGCCAGACAGTTGATCTTTGCTGCTGAGTTCTGTCTCTCTCCACCCCAATCTTTCATAATTCCACTGGGACAACAAAGCCTTGCTTGTAGGTTGCCTAGTGACAAAAGCAAATAATTGAATTGTCTGCCTGCCCTGCCCCCCCAACCCCCTTGACAGCACATTCCTCTTTTCCCTGTGTATTGCTGAATATGTTTTCTGCAGTGAAAGCAGGGTCGGGGGGGGGGGGGGAGCCTGTCCTGCACAGAGCTTGCTTAACCTTACAGATTGTGAATCAGCCTGAAACACCAACACCTACAAACGTTCAGTGGGAATACTTGCAAATTAGTTAAGGGCTTCAGGGTTGAAGCAACAGTGCCCAGAATGCATAACAGATCAAGTAATACATTTATTTATTTATTTTTAAAAAGAGATAGAGAGATAGAGAGAGAGATAGAGAGATAGAGAGATAGATAGATGATAGATGATAGATGATAGATAGATGATAGATAGATGATAGATAGATAGATAGATAGATAGATAGATAGATAGATGATAGATAGATAGATATAGACAGATGATAGATAGATAGATATTCAAACAAAGATTGAAGTTTATGCAGCCTTCTGGGCATACCATTAGTGATGCAAATGTGCCAATAGGCTGAGGATGCTAAAATTTAATGTGTAAGGTTTCTCTTTTAACTTAAAAATAAAGTCATTTAGCATGGCACATCCAAAGTAGTACACTAGTAGATAATTACCAGACATGATGATAAACCAGAATGACATGGGCATTATTATCCCACCCTCTTCATCATCACACCCCACATAAAAACCCAGAAGCCTGCAATCAAAGATTTGGCAGATGATGTCAAATCCATAGGAGAACTTCAGCATTCCTCGCTCAATTGCTCTCCTCTCTAGTCATTTTTCATCCTACTATTCCTTACTTCTTCTTACTTTCCTCTCAAATGCCCCTGTTTCTTCTCCCTATTATCTTACACTTTAGCAGCATTTGCGCAGGATCACAGCAGATTCACAGCAACTGAGTTGATGGCAACCAGCAATCCTTCACTCTAAAGCAACTCATTTAATAGCACCAGAAGTCCTTGTGATTGAACAGCCCCTCTATGACAGAGAGAAAGCTGAGCCAATCACTGTGAGAGGCTTAACCACCTCTGCAACTACTACCATAATGAAATCACTTTTGTGCATTACATCTCACTATCAGCCAGTACAAATGCTGAGGACTGAAGTCTCAGATGAAAGAACCAAGTTCTTTCAATTGCCACAATTTCGCATGTGCCTCTTTACAATGCATTCACATTCTTTCCACCAATCTAGGGCTTTAACAGAAGTATGGGAAGCCAGGAAGTCTGTCTCATGAATGCCTGAGATTGCTGGGTTCTGAATGCTGAAATTGTTTCTATTACAATAAATCTTTCTGCATTGATTTATTTAAGTGTAAAAAAGGCACTTTAAAAAGTGAACAGCTGTTAGGTTCATGATACAGGCAACCCCTCCATTTCCCCATGGTTACAATAAACCCTAGCCAAGCATGCTATGAGGTTTTCAGGAGGTTTGGCCCCTAGATGGGCTGCAGAATGGAGAGACAATTTGTAGAATGAACACGTATCCCACTTAGCCTACACTAAACAAGGTAAGTAGAAAGTAAGTCTTTCACTGCTCCTCCCAAGAATTTCACTGAAATAGTCTCTCCTTTTGCATAATTTTCAAATGCGTTTTCTTTTCTTATTGATAGAGAATGGTTTGAGGGGAAATGGAAGGGATTGGGGGGGGCAGAGCACTCATATTCACCACCCCAAATCACAACTTTGCTGATTTCCCTGACCTGTCACTGATAACATAATTGGTCCTAATTCATCTGGAATCTACTGTTGACTACAGACTCAACTTTCCTATCAACTGGTGCACAAACTGTCTAAAAATGGCACCTCAAATACTCATTGTTGATGCTGCCTTTGTCGTACATCAAGAATCAAGTTAATTTTTGTGAAAATTTCTTGCATAAGTCTTCAAGAATCAGCAGCGCACACTGTTCCTTCAGTAAGTGCTACTCAAAGACTTTTGAATCATTTCTCTCTCCAGAGCCAATGCATTTGGGGGCTCAGTCACAAGCAAATTGCAATGACTCAGGAACATGAATCTTGAAGATAAGCTAAGAGATGAAGGTGAACTTTTGTTTATGAAGAGTCGGGGCAAAATGTAGGAGAAACAGCAGTAAAGTTATTCTGTTAGCAGTCACCGTACTCTTTTCTTCTGCATAAAATCATACTAAGTTCAGGCAGAATAAAGCTTAATTATATACCTTCATCAGAGCATTCTGTTGCTACAGCCTATTCCAAGCACATCAACCAACTTTTAAAGACACATATATTATCCCTTTCTCTTTCTGCCTTTGCCTTGTCTTCTAAGAAAAGTTGGTTAATTGATATCTGTCTGTGTGTTTGTGTGTGTGTGTGTGTGTGTGTGTGTGTGTAAAGAAGGAAATGAAGCAAGGAAAGAGACTGCACAAATCACGCATAACCCTCTTATTGCCAAATCCTCAAAAATGTGCAAGTTCACAGGACTGATTAAGAAGATACTGTTAAGATTTGGCTGGAGTATCCTAGATAGCACAATGTAATAATGGAATCACAGAATTCATTACATTCCTTGAGTGCTCCTGATTAGTGAACACTATGATTATCATGACAGAATTAGCACTTGAAGAGTTTCTCAAGCGTTAGCTCTTCAAGAATGTTCCTGTAACAGAACGAGTGAGTCATCACATGCCAGCAGTGAAGAGTGGGCCGTATAATTCCCTAATGGTGATGCCAGAAGATTTTGTGGGGGCAGAACTTGGACTTTCATAGTTTCATACTTTACAGTTGTTTCAGTTGTATTCTGTGCCCCTTTGTTTGAAGTATATAGCAAATTGCCCTAAACCTTCAGTAGGAAGCAGGCAAGAAATTCCAGTAAACATCTATATAATGTTAAAGGTACTTGCCTAACTTGCAGCAGCATAGAGCAATAATGTTAGGAGTTAGCAGGTACTTATAACTTATTTTAGATGGAAAAGAGGAATAAATAAATAAATAAATACCCACCTTTTAACAAGCAATCATAGGAACTTGCCTTATTTTAAGTTAGAACATCCACCCATCTGATTCAGGACTGTTTACACTGACTGCAACAGCTATTAGGAACATTCCCAAGGATACCTGGCAGAAATGCTGAGGACTGAACCTGTGTCTTTCTGTGTGCAAAGCAGATTTTCGACCACTGATCTTATAAGAACACAATAATATCCC